GTTTGATTTGCTCTTCCATGTGGAGCAGGGTCAGGTCTAGAGCAAGGCCAGGTCTGGAGAAAGGTCAGGTCTGGGGCACAGTCGGGTCTGGACCAAGGTCAGGCCTGGAGAAAGGTTGGGTCTGAGGCAAGGACAGGTCTGGAGCAAGTTTAGGTCTGGAGTAAGGACAGGTCTGGAGCAGGGTCAGGTTTGGAGAAAGGTCAGGTCTGGAGCAATGTCAGGTCTAGGATCGAGGTCTGGTCTGGAGCAAGGACGGGTTTAGAGCAAGGTCAGGCCTAGGACCAAGGCCAGGTCTGGACCAAGGTCAAGTCTGGAGCAAGGACAAGTCTGGAGCAAGGTCAGGTTTAGAGCAAGGCCTGGTCTAGACCAAAGCCAGGTCTGGACTGAGGCAGCAGAGCCTACAAGATTTCATGGGAATTCGGGAATGTCTTTGGCATCCCCTTTATGTGGAGTAATGAGCATGTTTGGATGCTGAGAAAACCTTTTCCAAAGTGAATTTTCATTTTCCTGCTCTTGCTTAAATCCACCTTTCCCACTTCCCAGGCACTCACAGCCCAATTGTCCGTGGGAATCGTGGATCTGAGTGTCCCAGCTGATGGAGAATCAGCTTCTCCCCATCACTCACTGTGCCCAGGATTAATCCTGGGATGAGACCTGAGACCTGCTCCCATCCCGTGCTGAGCTCCAGGAAAAGGCAATCCAGGTGTTGATGCTTCTTGTCTTGTGAATAAAGGGAAAATAAAGGGAATTCACTTTCTTCCCTCCAATTCCATGGAAATTTATTGGAATTTATTTGAATTTCTCAGCTCAGATTTCTTAAGGTTTTATTAAACCCCTCATGGAGAGAGGGAGGAGAAGGAAGGAAAGCAAAATTCCATGAGCAGGAGCCCTGTTGTTGCATGATGGACTGAATTGTTGGGTCTTGATCTACACGGTTGGTACTGAAAAGAGTCTGAAAGTGCTCAGACCATCGATTCAGAATGGAGGTTTTATCTGTCAGAAGTGTTTGCCCATCAGCGCTGAGTAGAGGGCTTTGGACCTGGTATGTAGGCCCATATGCTGTTTTCAGGGCTTCATAGAATCCTCTGTGATCACCTGTATCTGTGCATAATTGAGTTTTTTCAGCTGGATTGATCCACCACTTGTTCTGGATGTCGCAGAGTTTCTGTTGGAGCTTGCTGCATGCGAGATGAAAGGCTGTTTTTCTTGTGTGACAGGAAGGCTGAGCAAGATGTGCTTGGTGAGCAGATCTCTTCTTCTGCAACAATTCCTGGATCTCTTGATGGTTTTCATCAAACCAGTCCTTGTTTTTCTTGAAGGAGAACCCTAAGGTTTCTTCAGAGGACTGCAGGATGCTGTTTTTAATATGGTGCCAAGTTGCTTCAGGAGAGGAATCTGTAGAATCTGTGGAATGGTTTTCGAGCCTAGTTTGAAGGTTAGCCTGGAATTTCTCTCTCACCGTGGCTGATTGGAGACTGTTAACTTGGAGTCTCCTCCTTGGAATACTGCCCCTTTTAGGTTTGAATTTGAGATTGAAGTTGAGTTTACAGCGCACCAGCCGATGGTCTGTTTGGCATTCTGCACTGGGCATCACACGGGTATGGTGGACATCGCGGACATCTCTCCATCGCACCAGGACATAATCAATGAGGTGCCAATGCTTAGATCTGGGGTGCATCCAGGTTGTCTTCAGACTATTTTTCTGTTGGAAGATAGTATTAGTGATGGTGAGCTGCTGCTCTGCACAGAATTCTAGCAGAAGGCGACCATTATCGTTGCAGTTTCCAACACCATGCTTGCCTAATATTCCTTTCCAGGCATCAAAATTCTTACCTACTCTGGCGTTGAAATCACCAAGGATAACGATCTTATCATCTGCAGGCACCTTTTCGGTAAGGTGGTGCAGGTCAGTGTAAAATTTATCTTTTTTGGCAGGGTCAGCTTGGAGGGTTGGGGTGTATATACTAAAGAGGGCGACGTGTTGGTTGTTGTGGAGTGGAAGGCATAGGGAGATAATGCAGTCAGAGTGACCTGTCAGCAGATTTTCGAGTTTGGGAAGAATAGAGTTTTTGATCATGAAGCCGACTCCTGAGAGGTGTTTTTCGGTTCTGGGCTTACCTGACCAAAGGAGTGTGTAACCAGCACCATGTTCTCTGAGGCTGCCTTCCTCGTGAAGGTGAACTTCACTGAGAGCGGCAATGTCGATGTTGAGACGAGGCAGCTCATGGGCAATTAGGGCAGACCGACGCTCAGGACGTCCACTATCCGCAGAATCGAGCATGGTTCTGATGTTCCAACATGCTAGAGTTAATTTAGGTACACCTTTGGAGGCAGGTGAGTGCCTTTGTCTTTTATCTTTGTGCGACCGCACTGGAAGAAGATGCCTGTTGGCCTGTGGTTAACCAACTGGGTGAAAGTGGAGATGAGCTTTGTTTAGGCCACCTTTTCTAGGCCCCTCTCCGAGTGGAGCAAGCAGTGCTGTCCTTGGAAAGGCTGCTTGGTCGTTCAGGGTGCTGCCCCAAGAGACTCATCTCCGGTCAGTCTCAAATGACCAATGCCCTGAACCGCCTGCATGCAGGGTTGGGTCTGCGGCTTCCAGTGCACCTCTCACCTGCCGTTTCGACCCTCGCCCGTCGCTACAGGGCTTTCTGCATGTGGGTAAAGCCTTCGAGCCTGAGCAGTGGAGTTTTAGGTGAGATACAGTATGTGCAGAACTGAACCCACCCTTTAATCCTGAGGTTCATCTGCCAGGGCCGAGCGAGCTTGGACGGTGGCAGCGAGGTCCTGAGGACGTAGGTTTGATTAGAGTGACCTTCTCTTAGATGGATGGCCTTACAGGGCTAAACGAGCTCCATCTGCCCGGGTTTGGGATCAGAGTTGTCCTTCTCCTAGGATGGTTGCCAGAGGGCTAGTGAGCCCACCCTGCCCATGGCCATATTATATCTGACCCTATGGTTTGGACCTGTCTGGCATGGGAGACCCTGCCTGTGGCATGTACCATTGCCAGCTCTCAGCCTCCTAGGGGTACACAGGCTTCCTCCCCACTGAGACCCCACGGCCCGTCAGACCCCCCCTCTCATCCCCAAATTGGACTGGCAAACCTCTGTGCGCTCCCAAGATCCTCCTCTCAATGCTAAATCATTATGATATTACTAAAGTATGGTAATAATAACAATAATGGTTATAATTATAATGATAGTCATGATGATTATATTAATATTAATAATACAAATATCACTAGATTAATATACAGGTGCTACATTATTATAATACTAATAAATTCTGATAATAATAATGATGATAATAACAGTGATTATGAATATGATGCCAATAATGAGGATAATAATAATAGATTATTATAATAATGCTAAATTCCTATACTGATAATAAATTATGATCATAATAACAATCATAATGATGATCATAACAATAATAGTGATGATTATGATGACAACAATGATGATAAAAAATTATTCTAATAAAGTATTCTAATAAATGACAATAACATCAATAATAATGATTATTATAATTGTGATTCTTATAGTGACATTAATATTATTAATTTAATGTATTATTATAAAATGCTAAATTATTACTATATTAATAAATTATGATGATACAATAACAATTATTATTATAATTATAGTTATGATAATGGTATTAATATTAATAATAATTAATTATTATTATAATGCTACATTATTATAATACTAATAAATTATGATAATAATAATGGTGATTATACTAATAGTGATTATATGATGATAATGAGAATATTGATAATAATAGTAATAACAATAGTAATAATCATAATAGTAAAAATAAAATAATAACCACCAGTAATCTCCTGCTCATCTCCTGACAGGAAAAAACAGTTCCAAAAGTGTTTTTTCCAGGCCTGTGCTGGGAATTTTTCCCATTTAATTAAAAAGTGGAGCCTGGGAATGGTCACAAGAGGGAGACAGAGCCCAGCAGTTCAACAGCAGCTCCCCCCCTTCCCTGCTCGGGCATCCACGGACATAAAACCAACTTCCAAATTATCCTTATTAATAAAAAGATACGAGAATAAACCCAGTGCTTCCTTCACTCTTCGGAAAATGGGGTTTTCCCCTTCTCCTTTCACTTTTGGGATGATTCCTCTCACGATAAATGGGATGATTACAGTCCCTGCGGGGGATCCACAGGATTTGGGCGCATTTGGAGAGAAAACAGGTCCCTGATCCAAGTTTATTCCCTTGCATTTGGCTCCTGGCTGCTTTCTGGGAGGCTTTACCATGGGTGGGTTACCCTCAGCAGGGGGTTTCTCTGGGTTTTTTTGGGTGAAAACACACCTCCAAGTCCTCAGTTTAAGCCTTCCCCCTCTGAGCCCATTTCCCAACTCCCCCAGCCAAGGTTGGACAACATTCCCCGGCTTTTGAATTCCCACACCCCAAGAGATACAGGAGGGAACTGGGCTGAAAAAGGAATATTGGTAAAGGAAATTCCTTACCTGGGCACTGGGGGTTGGTCTCCAGCAGAGGAATCACCTCCATCCCAGGGGCACCACATGGAAAACCGTCCTCGGTTTCCAAATTTAAACATTTAAACACGTAAACGTCCTTTTCCTTGCCTGGGAATAAAAACTGAAGCCACAGTTCATGGAGAAGAGCCAGAAACCCTCAGAAAGGGGTGTTTTCCTCCCTGCCCAAACAGCCACTGTGATCAGGAGATGGAAGCTGTGCTTCCCTGGAATTCCTGGAAAAGCCCTTTGGGAAGGCTCTGCAGAGAAAGCTGCTCAGTTCTTTCCTTCTGTTCTGCTTTCCTGGAGTTGGGCACATCTGGGGAGCTCTCAGAAAGCCACGATTTCTCAGGAAACTGGGATAATCCTACACTTAGGACCCCCCCGAGCACACTGAAGGTGCCACTCCCTCCCCAACAGCCCAACCAGTGAGTGGTGAGTGGAAACAACTTTGCAAAACACGAGAGAATTCACATTTATTGTATAAAAAAAAAAACCCCAAACCCCAAGCAGGAGCTGCACAAACACTTCAAAAGGCCAAGCAGGAGGACCCTGGGGAGCTCCTGTGCCCACATGGTAGGTTTTTGAACCTTCCAGTGCTCCGTTCTCCCCAGAGCACCTCCAGAACCTGAGAAGATAAATCGCGTCATTTCCACGCTCGACACCCGCTGCCTCCCCCGGAGCTTTCTGAGTCCTCCAGCTCCTCACACTTTGCTGCGGGATGTGCTGCCTCCCTCCTGCTCCTCTTCCTCCTCGTCCCCAGGGTTGACAGGGATGTACCCCCCTTCCCTGGGCAGGCACCAGCACCAGCCGGCGCCGCTCAGATCCACAGCCCCGAAGCTGAGATCCCGCAGCTCCAGGATCCTGAAGTCCACGGTGTCCAGCTTGGAGTAGATCTCATTGAGCTTCTGCCAGTAGAGCCAGGCCATCACCAGCCCCACCACCTGCAAAATGGGAGGGTCAAAACCACTTTGTGGCCACACAAATCCCGCTGGACTTTCCAACTCTGCAACCTGCTCACTCAGCCTGACTCCCAAGGGTTGTCTCTGGGCCGGGAATTTCATGGAGCAGCCCAATGCCAGCCCCAAAATGCTGTGTTTTAGCAGGAAACCCACCTTTGGATCATGTTAAAGAATCAGTGGATTTGAGCTTCTCCAAGGAGGTTCCCTAAAATATTGGGTCTCTGTTGGAGCACCCTCCTGCTCTTGGGGCTGGGAAAATTGCCAATCGTGGAATGGTTTGGATCGGAAAGAACCTTAAAGCCCATCCAGTGCCACCCCCTGCTATGGGAAGGGACACCTTCCACTATCCCAGGTTGCTCCAAACCTTGTCCAACCTCACCTTGGACACTTCCAGAGATCCAGGGGCAGCCACAGTTTCTCTGGCAATTCCATCCCAACTGCTCCTCACCCTCATAACCAACAATTCCTTCCCAATATCCCATCTA